TACAGACGGAGCGGAAAAAAATTCATTTTTGACCTGAACGACACTTTTCCGCTTGAAATGAACATTTATCTCACCGATCGATTTTTTGTCTATTGCTGAAGGTTCTCATAGGTTGTTGTGCTATATTTACAGTAAAATTCGTCAAACTGTAAGTAGAGAATTCATCTATATCCAATACCATTTTCCTTATACTTTCTCGAGCTTTGAATGTAAGATTGTGTCATTGAACGGTTCTACTACAGATTCAGTCTAGAATGTTTTCAAAAATTTCGATAAAATAAATATTCTTTAGTTGTATATTTAATTTATGTTTACAAGTTTTTGTTCTTGAAATGCATTCTGTGTAACTAATTGAATTATTTTTATGTTAATTGATTATTTCGAAAAATTTTCAGGAACGAAAACTTCGTGATATCTGTAGCAAGAATTTTAAATTTTATTTTCGTTTATACCTTTCACTTTTCTTAGATGAAGAAACATCTGCGAATCTCTATAGTTGAAATACAAGAAGACGCTAAGCATACATTAAAAGTGAAGGTGATAAGTGCAGAACTGCTATGATTTATGAGTTTCTCATTAATATCAATATGAGGTAATGTGGTAAATATTTATTTTTTTGATGATAAGCGATGCAAGTGAAACTCAGAAATAATAAACACCAAATAAAGCGAAAGAAAAAAACAAAAGTTTGTACTTTTAAATACAAATAAAAAACGAATTAGTTTTGATATTATGAATAGTTGATCATCTAGATTAGTTAAAATAAGTAGTCAGTCTTCATTTAATGCGAAAATGCTTAAAGCGATTTGTCATTAAACGTAAATTCTAATGAATGCCTCGATTTTTTGTTGACATATTGGGCATGATCTTAATGAATGGCCACATGCAACACACGCGGCCATGTGTCCACAAGGTATACATGCTAATCGTTTTTCTTCTGTCAGACATAGCATACACGGATTAGATGGTGTTGATTGGTTTCGATCTTCGATAATAGCTGTTTGTTCTGTTGTTTTTGTTTCGATTTTCGTACTACTCGCTGCCGATTTCGATATGGATTCAACAGAAGGTTCGGAAGATACTGATTCATTTGTTGATGATTCTGATGATGTTGTCATTTCAGTAACTGTAATTTGTGCTGGATTAGGTACTGGCGCTGTTTGTTCGTGCATATGAACGTCTAGAAAATAATGCAATAGAATATTTGTATGTGCGTAAAAAAGGAAGTAGAACTTACTAATTTGTTCCCGAATTTGTTTCATTTTTATGCTTGGTATCACAATATTCTCTGTTATACCGTTGATATGTTCGATTTGTTTCTGGAGAATTAAGCAAGCCATGTACAAATCACTTTCAGATACAAAATCATCATCTAAAATAGTTACATAGGTAAGATATGAGAGAATAAAGTGGTTTGATTAATTCACGTTTTAGTCGTAATTGATCTTCCCAGCATCGTTTAATTATAGGTAATTTAAAATTTTGATCTAATAACCGTTTTGAAATTGGTAAATCTAATCGATCGGCAACTAGTGTCGACATAATACTTTCGTCTGATATTAATGATTGCTGAGTATGTGTTACTAAATTATTGTTTAATATAGCACTAGGGTCTATGGTTCCGCTTGCCTCATTACCGCTTGAACTTTCTATAATAGAAGAATTTAATAAAATTTTATTTTGGAGTGTCTAATCTTGTAAACATACCATATTGTGCTAGTCTAGGTTCTTGCACCTGATGATATAGTGCTTCACCGCATAATTGTCTAGCATATGTACACTGTGGAAACCAGCGAGCATGCTCAATCGATGGATTATCATTCGGACCACAGTCTTGCAAAGATCCATTGCAATAAAAACAAGTAATAATCGTTCTTGTACCCGTATAAAAAAATCCTGCTCTAACTAAAGCACATACTCGTGGAAAGTCCACACTTGGCCATGTCGCATAGGACGCATGACGTTTTCGTATTTTGGAATAAGTCGGATTACAGGGAACTCTGGAGATATTATTATTTAATTGTGTTGAACTTTCATCGCCAACATTGATCGGTGAATTTGCAGGACGCATTAATTTTGATTTAACATATGGACAATTAGGTGAAAGTGTTTTATGTACATCACATGGATCATCTGCATGGGGTGCCCATTGTTGACAAATAAGATTACAATAAATGCATATTACTCGATCACCAATGTTGCAATTAAAAAAGCCAGCTTGGATCATTTGTGCACTGGATGGCATAGTACGATGTGACCAATGAGAAAACGTACGCCTTCGCACTTGTTGAAGTGAATCAGCTTCGGTTAAAGTATGAGAAATAGGCTTTGTAGCTCCTGTGCCAATCATTCGATATTTAGATTGATTTTCTGCTTTTTTGGATGTCGATGTTTTTACAGTAGAAGCAGTAGATTTAGATGGATTCGATAATGAAGATGTTAGTATAGAACGAACGAATGGGCAATCAGGCCTACGTTGAGAATGAATAGTAAACGGGTTCATATTCAATGTCCAGTTGGATATTTGAAGTCGGCAATCCTTACAACGAGCTGTATCTTTATCCCTTGTATATTGAAACCCAGCGGCAGACATATGAGATATAGTGTGGACGCCACATTTCTTCATTGATAGGGCTACTGATCGACATTGACTCAGCACATGATTATGAGGTAATGAATCGTGTTTCTTATCAGAATGTTCTGAACAAGAATTCATGGTTTCGTATTTAGGAAAGCGACCACTTTGAATAAGTTTTTAGATATAAAACCGAGGTTGATATAATATTTTATATATCTAGTAAAGTTTAAAGGATATATTGCATTTAAATTAATTGTTTTCCCTTGTAATATTCAAATCGATTTTAATGAACAACATAGTCTTATCAGTTATTCATTGCAGCATTAAGCGAAAAAAAATTCTAAGGATAAGTTATCAGAATTTCACTGGATTCGAATGGTGATGCGAAGTTCCGAAAATAAGTTGTCGAAACGTTTAACATTTCATAAGAATCGAATGACAATCCCTATAATCGACGAGAAAAAGCCTGAAGATATTCGGAAAATAAGAGGAACATAGCGTGTTTTTTTCTTTGTAAAGTCGAATCGGTATTTTTCCATTAATCAAATTGCTTAAGGCAAGATAAAACTGACAACTAATCTCGAGAAAACTAGCATTTAAAATTTCCTCCTTCATTTAATATGTGCCATTGGCTAAGTTCCTAGTTATCTTATATCTAAGTTAAGAGACCTACAATGAACTACTGTGGATGTCTTGGCTTGAATTATTTCGAAAAAGATTACTCATTTTTTACTTGATCGTTCCTATTGATTGGATACACAGTAGATATATGCATGATCCACTTGTTTCTTCATACAGGAAGAAAGCTGTTCTAATTTTAATTTTCACTTATTGTACGAAGTGTCATATTATCGTGCATATAAGCAAAGCATCGCTGAAAACTCGACAATAAATGGTGTATAACATGTGTAACTTTATCCGAAAGCCATATCCCGTACCTAATTAAATAAGCTGACCAGTCACTTACAACCCAGTAGTGCCAAACTTGAAACTTGAATTCAGTTGAAAATAGAAAATTTAAATTTTCAATTGAATTCAAGTTTCAAGTTTGACATATATGTTACAGTCTCATCGAATGTGGCAAACGCTACTGTAATATAGTAACTTACTATTTGATTGGAAACTTCCAAGCAGCGGCGTAAATAGGGGGGGGGGGGGGGGGAAATATAAAAATTTTTTTCACCCCCCCCCCCCCCCCCTACTCTGAGACCTGACTTACGCCCCTGCTTCCAAGAGTAGAAGACAAGAATTTACTTCGTTAGATGACGTGGTTGTAGAATGCAGAAAATAAAAAAAGTGCAACGTGATTAGCGTGAAACGAAAAATATATGAACTGTTCTACAAAACTTTATCAAACGAGTAGGTTTTTCTCTACGTGCAAAAGAAAGCAAAGCAATGAAAACATCGATAAATTTGTCTTGTTTCGTTTTGTCGGATTTTTTGTCAGCCAGTAGTTGAATTTCTTTATTTTGCGTCGTAAAAAATGTTCTTTTTTTTCCTGTCTATATTCATTGTCATGAATTCTTGTTTAGTGTTTGCATGAATAGATTTTTCACTGTTTGCATTTAGCTATCTCAAAATGGCATAAAGTCAATATCTTCAAACTTTATGATTTTGCTTTTTATCAAGATTGTAACTGAGAGAATACTTCCACTTAAAAACACACCAGTCAATATGGTTCTTTCGTTGCCATCATTTTGAAACTTAATGATCATAAATCGGAAGTAAAAATCGTAGATGATATTGAAATTATTCATCGCAGTGTTTACACTCACATAAATATTGAAAGCGGCAATCGAACAAAAAAGTGTTCCTACATTATCCTTTTCCATTAGCAACTTGTATCAATGCTAGCTATATTTGGCTTTCTAAACATGGAGTTTGTTTAATAGTACAGATTTATCATCGTACTTGCAAATCCATTCAATTTCTCAGCGAGTGATAGTAAAAACTGCCGTGTCTCATTAATATCATCAGTTTATAACCAGAAACGATTTAAATCCTCTCGAGGTAAATTATTTCTTTTGCTATGGCATCTGAGCGTGTTTCATTGGATGTTAATAAAATTCAGCCGTATGTTAATAGTCTTATCGATAAGAGTATCAAATATTAAATAGAGATAAATCTCAAATTCATTTTTTTATAAAAAAAAAACAATATTAAACTAATTTTCCTGGTGTTAATATAGTACGTTGAATTCGTTGTAAATTGTTTAAGATTCTTTGTATCGTTACACAATTCAAAGTTGATGCAGACGAGACTACACACATTTTATTATTTTCTGTATGTCACGCCTACTACGCTCTGCATAAATATGTTGTGAATCATGTGTTGTTGAATTTGACAGTGTGGTTTACTGAGTTCTTTTTTTTGAAAGATAATAATTTTCGTATTTGCCCTCGAGTCTGTTAACATCTAGCAACCGTTTACGAGGCTGTACTCTTGCGTAAATTGCACCGATGATTTCAAATCTATTTCAAATAAAATAAATTCCGTTACTTGTGAGGTCTCGTCTCGGTGTGCGTTATGTTTCATAAGACAAGTAAAGAAAATAAAAGTTTGTCAAAGCGCGAATGCAAAATCGACAAGAATAACAATTGTGAAATTAAATTGTTATAGCTTTTACGATATAATAAAAGTCTATCAAATGAGAATCATTAATAGGAGGAAAAAATAAGTTTGCTTCTTATTTAGTTTTTAGGTAAGATGGATTTGTGAATGCTATTTACGTAATGTATAATGATCTTCAACATACAATTGTTGACATCTTCGTGAATTTTTATCGAGCTATAGAAAAACAATCGTTGCAGTATGACTTACTCACTTACTATAGAATTTCAGTGTAAATGGTTTTGAAAAAACGAAATGGATCCCAAGAATGAAGCATTATTTGTACATGATTTGACAATGTTATAAGAAGATGAAATACGCTTATATCGTTTACTAAAAGTATTTAGATGCATTTACCCACCTATTCGCACTAGAAACTATTTAAAATTTGATGGTATAGAATTTTTTCATTGAATTTTTACTTGTTGACTTAGAGTAAAATGTCCTCAAAACATTTCTGAAAAATAAATATTGATGCAGTTTCGAAAGTTCTTTAAACAGACAGATGATTGTATGGACGCAAATAGAATATCCATAATTATAATAGCTAGCTTCAGTTAAAAAAAGCGGTGGGCTATAATTAAATGCTGTACAATCGTGAAGAGTTCATGCTGCTCAACGATATCCAATATGCATCAACAAGAAATATCTTCCAATCGAATTTTCTAGTACTGTAACCTTAGTTTTTAATTTGTTAATTTCATAAATCAATCGATTGCTGACAACGTTTTGACCTTGAAATGTACTCCGCCAAATTATTTTGAAAAATGTTCACGAAATAAAAATCATCAGATATAGTGAGAGAATATGTTATATTTAAAATTTCATACTACTGCATCCTCTGAGTCAAATTTTATTTTCGTTTATATTTTCATAGACTACGGAATTAGTGAATTCGTTTTGCGCATTACAATAAATCAAACAACAAAAAATAAAACCAAAATAAATATGACAAAGAGCTGTTATAGGTAATTGCCTTTTCGGCAGTATAAAAAAATGTACAATCAACTTTTGTTTCACCGGTAAAAATATTAAATAGCAGAGTGAACATTAAAAACCCAATCAGATCTAAAGTTGATAAAAAAATTGGGAAACTAAAAGTTCATTTTTCTTCATTTTCTATTCAATGAGTGCCACTTTGCGCACGGAGAATAGTTAACTATACATACTAACTTAAAGAAAAATCAATCGCTACTTGTCATTAAATATGAATTTGAACTATTGATTCTATTTTTCGTTGACATATGGGGCATAAACGTAGACAATGACTACATGGCACGCACGTACCTACGTGTCCACATGGTATAAAAGCTATTGTTTTCTCTTGCGACAGACATAAGACGCACGGATTCGATGGTGCTGATTTATGTCGATCACTTTCATCACTTTGTTTCCTTTTGGGTATACAAATATTCGCTATTGAATTTGATGTGGGAAATTTAGAGCGTACATATTGATTTGTTCTTGATTGCAATGGTGATCTACATGTGACGCTAGCAGAGTTCTCCGAAAACCGACTTGATTTCGATACGATGAATGTTTGTTCGCGTATACGAGCTTCTAGAAAATAATACAGTAAAAAGATTGCAAACGTAAAAACAACTCGCTACTTTGTTCTCGAATTTGTTTCATTTCGACACTTGGTATGACTATGTTTTCCTTCATAACATCTATATGCTCCGTTTGTTTTCGAAGAACTAAGCAAGCAATGTACAAATCACACTCTGATTCAAAATCATCACCTACAAATGCACGGTGTAAGCAAGCAGAAAGGCGTTAACCACTCAACTCACGTTTTATTCTTAATTGATTTTCCCAGCATCGTTTTATTATAGATAATTTAAAATTTTGATCTAATAACCGTTGTGAAATTGGTAAATCTAATCGAGCAGCAACAAGTTTCGATAAAGTACTTTCATCTGGTATTAATAATTGTCGCCTGTTTGTTGTTGATGGTAGTGATGGTGCATTAGTATTTGGTACATCATTAGGGCCAGCTCGATCTTTTGATTCATTGGCTCTTGCGCGTTCTAGAAAAGAAAAAAATATATAAAAAAATTTTAACTTTGAGTAAATAATTTTTCAAGTATACCTTGCTGTGCTCGTTTAGATTCTTGAATTTTACGATATAATTCACCGCCACATAACTGTCGAGCATATGCACAATGTGGAAACCAACGAGCATGTTCAATCATTGGATTATCATTTGGACCCCAGTTTTGTAATGACCCATTGCAATAAAAGCAGGTCACAATACTTTTTGCACCTGTATAGAAGAATCCTGCTCTAACTAAATCATCTACTGGTGGCAAATCTTCAATTGGCCATGTCGCATAGGATGCATGGCGTTTTGGTATTTCTGAATAAGCTGGATTACATGATGTTCTCATCAAGATATCATTAGATAGTAATGGACCAATATCTGACGCATTTACTGTTGACTTGCCATCGCCGACATTGATCGATGAAGCTGCAGGACGTATTAATTTTGCCTTAACATATATACAATTAGGCGAAAGTGTTTTATGTACATCACATGGATCATCTGTGTGGGGTGTCCATTGTTGAGAAATAAGATTGCAATAAATGCATATGACTCGATCACCCACATTGCAATTAAAAAATCCAGCTTCAATCATTTGCGCACTGGATGGTATACTACGATGTGACCAATGTGAAAATGAACGACTTCGCACTTGTTGCATTAAATCAGTTTCGAGTAGAGTAGTATACATTGATTCTGAATCCATTGGTTCAATTTTTTGACGTTTAAAAGGGTTTTCAAGTTCACTGGTTGTCGTTGGATTTCGTATAGTAGTTTTAGGAGGAGACGAAGGAGCTGGTATATTCGCTGATGATGATGTCGTTATAGAACAGACAAACGGACAATCAGGTCGACGTTGAGAATGAATAGCAAATGGATTCATATCTGATGTCAAATTGGATACTTCAAGTCCGCAATCCTTACAACAGGCTGCATTGCCATTACCAGTATATCGAAACCCACAGGCAGACATATGAGCCACAGTGTGAACGCCAAATTTCGTTATTGATTGAATTATTGATCTGATTCCACTAAGTACAGCATGGGAATATTGAAAATTGCCCTTCTTCGTATTGCGCAGCTTTGATGGCATTTCTAATATGTTGTCTGTATGCGACATACTAGTGTGATGAGCAGCTTCATATTTTTTGGCTGAAGAATTCATTTTAGATGTATGACGAAATCTAGAAGAAATAAGATTTATAATTCGATTATGTTTTACTTGAAGATCCAAATGCGATTTTCATGATTTAAACAGTCCTATAGTCAGGGATTGTTGCAAGATGGAAACCAAAATTACGAAAGTCCTTCCTGTTATCGCAATTTCACACAATGACTAACGGCTCTACGAACCAGTACACCTCTGAAAATTGTTCATTTCATAGAAAAAAGAATAACTATTCATATATTTCGTGTGGCGAAATTCCCATAAAAAATTTATATTCTGCTCGATTCCGAACTTATCTTGTCTCTGTGGAGCAGAGCGGCTATATTTTAATTAATTTCTTACTCAGTCGTACAATGAAAATAAAAATAGTCGTTCCAAAATTGATTACTCAGACAGTTCTTTTAGAAGTTATGAAAATACTTCCATACAAATAATGACCCATCCACTCGCATTCATTATATACTACCAACTGGCTAGTTAATGCGCAAATCAATGGCTACGGACAATCACTATTATGAGCGGCGCAATTATTCTTTACAATCGCAAGAGTGATTCATTTCTAACTAAGCTATTTCAAGTGATCTCAGATCCGACTTCGAAGTCTACTAAAAATAAATACTACTCAGAATCTACCTCATTGCTCTAGCAAGACATTTTATGTTATTTTATTCATCCAATATGCAATATAAACAAATCTAAAACTTCATGAACAAGTTAGAAAATCATCGTTAGATCTAAAAATTTCAACTCACCTTTTTTTGGTACGAAAAATATTTGAGATATTTTGGAAAAATCCATCTTCATGATGCTTATAAATGATGTAAATACATTGGGTTGGAAATTTCCAAGAGCAGGCGTGAAAGAAAAAAAGAAACTTATTCGTTCTCTCGGGTCATTGTAGAACGCAACCAATAACAACCAATCCAAAACCAACGGGGGCTCCTTATTAAAAAAAAACTTTAGCAATTAATCTTACTGTTGCTTAGTGAAACTAATAAATGATTTGGCAGAATTTTAAGCAATGAATTATAGCTTAAATTGACGGGAACAAAACTAAGTTGCACTCAACGAGCGAAAGTTCACCGCCATCCATGTCATTCACAATTCTCATATGTATCGTGGCATGGCTTCTTTCCAAAAAATAATAAGCTAGTTTTTCGTTATGGATTAAAGGTATTTTGTGCAAACTCTAAAATATTATATAATTTTCTTCTAGAACATTAGTTTAAAATAATTCGACAGGTATCTCGATATTTGAAAATGCTGAATGAGTCATGTAAAGCGATTAATTTGCCTCTTATTGCAGGCCAATAATCAATGTAGGCCATGACAATATCTTCAGCGAATATTTTAAAATAAGTACCGCTGGGGTCGTTTTCTTGATGCAACGAGTTCTAAGTGCTTCTATTTACTTGTGACGATTCTTGGAAATTTTAATCACGAATTATCAAATTAATCAATGGAATTCTTTCTACACGTCTCGATTGAATACTTTTTTCTGCATAATCCACCATGATTCATGTTTTCCGTTATATTTTACCACGATAGACACATCGAAACTTTATTTTGACCGATTACAACTTCCCCGAATTAATTTTTAACTGAAAAGTACCGAATGAAATATCATCCACATGGATTCTTGAATTCATTTGATTGATGTATTTATTCATGCAAATTTTTCGGATGAATAACAAGAAAATGTCGCAATAGCTTATCGTCTATTCGAAACAAGAGTCAAGTCTGACTTTTTGGGAGATTCGTCTCGTGTTGTTTTTGACTAATAATTAAGATTAAGTATATCTTCTTTTGTTAGTCAGGATTGGTACTAGGTTCTACACTATCAGCTAAAAGTAAAATCAGTTCTTCTATTTTACACGAGAAACTTGATCTAAATTTATTATCTGCTTATGATCCTCTATTAAATTGATAAGAAACTGCTTCTTTACTGTAAAAGAAACAAAAAAACTTTCAGTTTAGTTTCCTTTAAATCTTTACAAAAAACGTCTGCTGATTTTGAAGCCTTTCGTCGTTTGTTAAGTTTTCAAACAAGAAGCTTAAAAACTCATTAGGCATGATAAACAAACATCTAACGTAAACAAACGTGATGTATTATTTATCGTGTCTGAAAATTCATTTTTGATTTTCAATGAGCTGTCGATGATTATATAACTTTTCCCGCACGTCGTGTCTCGTGCAAATGGTAATGGTCTCAATGTACCAATGAAAAAACGGAACCGTAATGTTACTCAGAATCTTGTTGTTCGCTACTCACACAAAGATGAAATTCGTTCGGTTCAGGGGGAAAAAATGTAAATATCGAGGAAGTTTAAAATTAATAAATTTTTACAACAAAAATAGAATCTCTATTCCACACGATCGAGTTTATCATTTTCATTGATAAAACATAAATGTTTTCTCCTTGATTAGAATCTAATTAATAGCTGGATTTATTCAAAAACAAATTCACATCAAAACAGTAAACTTAAAATGAAAGTATATACACTAATACACATAGGGCTGCTTTTCAATCAATTGATGTTTTATGAATAAATTTAATGGGGACTTGCTCGTCTGCTTCGTTTTATTGCAACGACTAACGTATTTTGAAACGTTGTGCGTTCTCAAATATAAGAAGATTAAAAGCAATACCCAGGCCGATCGAAACGAAGCCGTTTACGATCCGAAAACAGACTGTAACCACTGTAAAAACGGGGTATTTACGGCGGTATACGGTTTCAGTACTGTCCGTTTTCGGTCCGTATCGAACCGCATTATCGGGCGCAGTAACACGGACCGTATGTTGATCGAATACACTATGTTACACTGCACCGTTAACAGACCGTTGTTACAACGAAAATTCTCCAAATTTTGCTATTATGCGAGTCGAGTCCTACAATCGTCATGTACCGAAGGAAATACTTTCGAGACAACTAAATATTGCAGACAGGTAAAAATGCTCACAGTCACAATATATTCATGTTTGCAAAACATGAACAATTAATTAATCAAAACTAACCTCAGATTTGAAATCACCATCCTCGATCACCTTTGGTGAAGTTATTTAAAAAATAATAAGAATTAATTATTAATACTTTACCCTTGCAGCGACGAAGTTGCAATGAAAATTAATATAAATAGCAAAATAACTAGTGCACGATATCGTTTCTGTCCTTACACATTTTTGCACAGCCAGGCTGAGTAGTGCACGAAATATGAAAAGACAGTAAAGAATGATCAAGGCCGAATACGGACTAAATACGCCCCGTTTATGAGTGTGACATGAAGAATCATTCTATTAAGCGCTCGGGTGTTGTGCTGTAAACAATCTGTTGGGGGTGACGGGAAAAGGCAGAAAGGAAAAATGTCGAAGGAAAAATATCGAAAGAAAAAATACAGAAAAGAAAAAAGCCGAACAGAAAAACAGCGAAGAGAAGAAAAACGAAAAAGAAAAGATCGAAAGAAAAATATCGAATAAAAATAATTTCGAATAGCAAAATGCCGAAAATAAATTAGGAGAATAGTAAATCATTTATGCGAGCACATTGACCAATGGTACAAAATTTCATTGAATAAAGAAATACTTAACAGATTTTCTAAATAAAATACAGATGATTTTGTATATACTCATTTCTCTTTGAGAGGGTAAAATAGCAGCTATTATGAATGTCGAAACTATTTTCAATGATTCTTCTTCATTGATTTTTGGTATAAGAGCATTTCATATATAATATGTTCTTGCATGAGTTGTCCTAAGATACAAACCTTTTAATGGTTTAACTGCATAACAACGACTATCTTCAGCTTTTAAGAGAACATCATTTATATAACCATGTGCTGTGACATTCTATTTTCAGTACTCACATCGATATTAGTTGTCGGTAGCGATAGGTTTATTTAACTTAAATACATAATTATCAATGATAAACATTGAAGTATCTTTTGCGATAGAATAAAGGACTATTGTTCGAAGAAAAAGGTCATGTTAGATACAGATAAACATATCATGAAAATAGCTATCTTAATGGTAACGCCGGTCATAAATAACGCAAAATAAGATAAGCTGTAACACAATCGTTCGTTAGTCAAAGGAGCCCACATATTTCATTTCGTTTGTTGATAATGAGCCTTAATTTAGAAGCCAATCTTAGAAACAGTAACATATAGATATCATCATGAAGCGAATTACGAATAATGAAGTGAAAAGCATTTTATTTCATGTGTACTTATGTAGAGATAGGTACTGTAATCATAGCAGCGGACATAAGCATTCATCAAGTAAACGAAGAATGTTCAAAATATTGAATCAGACAATCCCGAATCGTCACAACTTTCCATATTTGGCTTCTCGAGAATATTTCTTTTCGTTTCTTCCCTACATTTTTCTTTTCGATATTTCGACGTTTCGGCTTTTTTTCCTTCTATCCTTTTCTTTTCTATATTTTTCCGTTCAATTATTTTTTCGACATTTTTCCTTTCGATTTTTTTCGTTTCGGCACCTTTCCATCCATTCATCTGTTGCATTCCGCATTGCTGAACGTGATAAAGTGCATCAGTACGTTCAGGCTATGTTAGAGAAACAGTCCGAAAAAACACCATATACGGTCTGCTTATGCACCGTTAATCGGTCTTTAGTAATCCGCCCTTAAACGCTCCGTAACTTATACGTTAGTATTGCGTAACCGATGCCCGTAAACGAAATTTCACGGAATGCCGTAAAGACACCGTTTTTTATTCGTTTACGGCCGTATACGGAGCGTTCTGTGCGACCTGGGTAGAAAAAATAAAGAACATGACTTTTTATATCCTTGACTAATAATGGTGCAAATCAATCAATCAAAACATCGCTTATGTTAGAATTGTAGTGGTCCCCTACAATTCTAAACGGAGATTAAGTTGTCTTTTCTACTATAACGCTAATACATCTGCCCGGAGAGCAGCGGAAGTGTGGTTCGAATCCCACGAAACAATTATCTTTTTCTCCGTTTTGTGGTCATATCATCTCGCTCTTAGTCCAGCACGAAACAGATAATGAATCCTTCTTTGACATGATCTATCAATCAGCTATTTCAAATTAGAAAACTCATGAGAGTTTTTGCTTTAAATGTAAATTCTAACGAATGCCTCGATTTCCCTTCGGCATATTGGGCATGATCTTAATGAATGACCGCATGCAACACACCCGGTCATGTGGCCACAAGGTATACATGCTAATTGTTTTTCTCTGTCAGACATATCACACACGGATTAGATGGTGTTAATTGGTTTCGATCTTCGATAATACCTGTTAGCTCTGTTGTTTTTGTTTCAGTTTTCGTACTACTTGTTGCAGATTTCGATATGGATTCAACAAAAGGTTTGGAAGATAGTGATTCATTTGTTGATGATTCCGATGATGTTCTCATTTCAGTAACTGTAGTTCGTGTTGGATTAGGTACTGGTGCTGTTTGTTCGCACATATGAACGTCTAGAAAATAATGCAATAGAACATTTGTATGTGCGTAAAAAACGAAGTAGAACTTACCAATTTATTCCCGAATTTGTTTCATTTTAATGCTTGGTATCACAATATTCTCTTTTTTTTACCGTTGATGTGTTCGATTTGTTTGCAAAGAATTAAGCAAACCATGTGCAAATCACATTTAGATTCTAAATCATCATCTAATATTATAGCATAGGTAAAATAAGAAAGAAGAAAGCGTCTTGATTAACTCACTTTTAAGTCGTAACTGATCTTCCTAACATCGTTTAATTATAGACAATTCAAAATGATGATGTGTTAACCGTTGTGACATTGGTAAATACAATCGAGCCGAGGTTACTGGCTGTTCCTGAACTGATATCTGAAGTATTTACTGTTGAGTTTTCATTGACAATAATTATCGATGAAGCTGCAGGACGCATTAATTTGCCTTAATATATAGGTACTTAGGAGAAAGTGTTTTATGTACATCACACGGATCATCTGTATGTGGCGTACGTTGCTGGCAAATAAGATTACAATAAATGCATATTACTCTATCACCAACATTGCAATTGAAATAACCAGCTTTAATCATTTAAGTACTTGACGGAGTAATTCGATGTGATCAATAAGAAAATGTGCGTCGTCGTAGTTGTTGAAGTGAATCAACTTCGACTAAAGTGCCTGGCATAGATTTTGCATCAATTGTTGGAACGTTTTGACGTTTAGAAGAGTTTTCTTGTTCATTTGTGGTCAATGCGTTCCGAACTGTAACTTTTGGTGAAATGGAAGAAATGAGAATGGTGTCATAGAACGAACGAATGAACAATCAGGCTGATGTGTCTAATGAATGGTGAATGGATTCATATATAATGTCCAGTTGGATACTTCAAGTCCGCAGGCTTTGCAACGAGCGGTATCTCCATTACTTGTATATTGTAAACCAGCGACAGACATATGGCATGTAGAGCGAACGCCTAGTTTCTTTGTAGATTCACCTATTAATTGAATTCTTCTCCGAATACTAGCTACAATCCTTATTTAGTACGCACATTTAGTTGTTTCATAGAACTTTTAAGAAAAAGGAGTGAAGAAAAACAAATTCATCATTCGGTCTCCATCAATCTTGAACTATAGCTAGACATGGGCAACACGGTCCCGTTCATATCGACTTGTAGCATTATATTCGAGATCCTATTTTGGATCATCTGTTTTCTTCTTATACGTTAGCGATAGATGTAGTTTAAAGATCTCTGTTGCTGGTTGATCATCATTTTAGTTGATCTAATTATGTTAGCAGAAACGTATTAGATCTTGTGAAAAGAAAAGTATCGTAACTGTCTAGTTTCTTCTACGATCGAATAAATCGAAATCTACACAATTTAGTTGCTGTGTGAAAAAAGAAAATATACATATTAATCACGAGAAGTGTGGATGTGGCTTAGGTTTCAATCAAAGAGAAGTCAAATCGACATCTGCATTCACACTCACGCCCAAAAATATTGTTTTGTTTGATTGTTTTTTTAAAATGAATAGGATGTCTTTCTTCAAACGGAATTTCATGAAGAGAAAACAAAACATGTAGCGCTTCAAATATGGCCGATTCGACAAATGCGACCAGTAGTTGAAAAACTTGCTGCTAATCATCAATTATTAACTGGCCAACGTGTATTAGATTCTTTATTTCCGTATGTAGATATGAAATGACTGAAGTATTACGTGATTTTCTTCTAGTAAAATATTTAATTAGCCATCTTTTAAATGTAATCAATCATAAAAATTATTTTATAGTTAAAAATGTATGTTGAAGGTAAAGAAGTATCAATTGTGGAACGAACAAATTCAGTTATGAATACATCAAATATGCCTGTTGCTGATTGTGAAATTTCGATTTATACAGAGGAGTTTCGATTGTTTGATTATTCTAAAAATCTATTTAATTTTATTTAAAGATTTGACTTTATCGGAATATTTTCGTCATATGGGTGATTATGTTGCTATGATGGCTAATTCAACATCACCTTGGTCTGAAGCTTTACGAAAAAGTTGTGGTCGTTTAGCTGAAACGTCTGCGAGTTGACTTTTTCTTTTGAAAATTCTAAATTATTAACAAGTATTTTTCTTTAGATTCGGCTTATCCAACTCATTTAGACACTCGCTTAGCTTCATTTTATGAACGTGCTGCTCGTGTTCGATGTTTGGACAATCCGGAACGTGAAGGTTCTCTGAGTATTGTCGGAGCGTAAGAATAGATTACAAAAACAAATGTGCCATTTTTATTTTGCTGATCCGGTTACAGTAGCAACATTAAGTATTGCACAAGTATTTTGGGGTTTTTGTACAGATATTAGCGCAATGTAAACATTTTCAATTGGTTAATTGACTTATTTGATATTGTAAATATTCACGTGTTCTTGATGATTATTATGATAAAGATTATTCGAAATTTGTAACATTACATGCTAAAGTATAGATTTGATTCGTTTTTTGTCCATCGGAAAACAAACGATTTCTTTTTAATTTAGTGTAAAGAAATTTTACAAGAAGAAGCAGATCTTTCGGATATTGTACAACTTGTTGGTAGAGCATCATTAGCTCAAACAGATAAAATAACACTTGACGTAGCACGAATAATAATGGATGATTTTATTCAACAAAATGGTTATTCATCATATGATAAGTAAAAATAAATATTTCGCATTATTTATATCAAGATTTATTTCTGTTTTATTTAAAGATATTGTCCATTTTAGAAATGTATTGCAATGATCTGTGATATGATTGCATTTTATGATTTGACTCGAGATGCTGTTGAAACAACAGGTTAATCGGACAAGAACATAACTTTGAATGATATTCGAACAAATCTTGAAGACATTCTTCATCAATTAATCAGTATGAAATTTAAGGTAAATTCTATTGTTATATACTTGGATCAGTTATTTTGATAATTAAAATTAATACCTAGGATTCAACTTAAACTAGTGAAGAAAAAATCAAACGTGATCTTGAAGAACTAAATGAACGTGTGCAAGCAGCATTCCGAGATATGGAAGAAAGTTAATTGTCTTTATCGTACTATTTACTAGCATTCTGTGTTGTTTAATTTCGGCCTTATTATAAGAAACGTTTTTAAATAAAATTTTCAATTTGATTTGTTTTTATGTTTCGACAAATGTAAACAGAATCATATCCTATTTTACAAATATTCTTATTACAGCTGTTCTCCATGCATCTAGCAAAGTTTTTTATGTTATCATTTTTCATTCTCAATTAAGTTTGTGTGTACAAAAGAAAATCTTTTGCTGTTCTATTTTAACCTGTAATATTCTGTTTGCTACACTAGCTTACCTTCGTTTCATCGTTAACTAGGTGTGCTCATTTTTTTCTTTTTCTCAATAGGACGAATATTGATATCAGTGCACCTATTTGCATTCTTTGTTTCTTTTTTGTCGGCGCGACAAAGTTTTCGTTGTAATATCGAAAAGAAAAATATGCGTAGGCTACATAAATTATATTATTATTTACGATTAAGTTTACAAAAAACCAAAAAGAAAACAATCATTTCACTATTTTCATTATGATTATAGCACTTAGTAAACCAACAATTATGCCACAAGCAAAATAATGTCGATAATGTGGATCAACTGGAGCAAGTTCAGCAGATGAATCAACTGGAGCAACTTCAGCAGGTGGAGCAAGTTCAGCAGATGAATCAACTGCAGCAAGTTCAGCAGATGAATCAACTGGAGCAACTTCAGCAGGTGAAGCAACTGGAGCAGGTGGAACAGCAGCCACGTACACGTATCGGCGCTAGAATAGAGTAGGTTAGTCATATTTTCAAAGTTAAACCGATGTATATTACTTACAATATCTGTTTCATAATTTTCATCATCATCCGACTCGGCAATAACATCGATGTCATCAGCCATATAATCATCCGTGCACATCTATAGGAAAAAAGAGAAAATTAAATGAAAAGAAAAGTTGTTGCACGAACCAATTCCAAACAATTATCTTCATAAAGATCATCATTAAAACATTTATGAGCTGATTTAAGAAGAGGTTCCTGTCAAATATTAAGTTCTTTTCCAGAATCAAGTTGCACAATATGTTGTGGTAATTTACACTTCAAATCATTTTGAATTTCTAAATAAGAGAAAAAAACTCGAACCAATTAGAAAATTACAAACAAATAAAAACGAAATTTATCAGACGTACGTAGATTAGCAACAACAACTTCTTGCTGATGTTCTAATTGTGTTTTACCAACAACTAGTTTAATTGGTTCAAGAACAGCTTCATTATTTTCTTCAATAAGTTTATGTGAATATTCGTCACCTTGAAGATGTGTTGAACCTTAAATTAACCATAAAAAAGTTCTTTTTATTAATATAGTTTTATATTAAACTTACCAAGATGAGGCATGCAATTAGTTATTTTCTTGGTATTTTCAATACTAACCATTGATTGTGTTTCAGTTTGAACAACTGATTTAACATGAGGATTATCAGCTTGTGCGGAATATACTTTACCTGAACCTGACAATGGTGTGGTAGTGGAAGTAGTTTTGTTCGACATGGTTAAATATATTTGAATAAATAGAAATACGAAGAAGATCTTTATGGTGGAATATAACGCAAAAGGCAAAAAGTATGATTATATATACGTCGAATTAAACAGACCTCGATCATACTCTTTGGGTGTTTTGTAGGTAACGCCACAGTTAACATTTCTATTGTTAATAACAAAGTATCTTCTATATAATCCGTCCATATAGATACAAGAATAATAATGAGATCTCGTCTAGCTATGCAGAATAATCATAAATGAATATGCACGTAGTAGCAACGTGGTCGACTATAAAAGGAAAACATTCTATGGATAACATGTTTTCAATTTACGGGAGCTAACTTAGGCAGCAGCGGCGTGGTATTTTTTTCCCTTGCGTTCTGCGCTGGACAATGGGGATGTACCTCCCCATGTCCAGCGCAGAACGCAAGAGAAGAAAATACCGCGCCGCTACTGAATTGAAGAACAAAGAAATGAATGTACCTGCTTTGCTTGAACATATTGCATCAGACTAATTTTAATTTTACTTAGTTTGTTTTTATTTGTCTGTCGCATTCAACGTTCGTCTAGATCATCTTTTATAATAAATATAACTATACATAAATAACAAGAAGAAAAGAAAGGAATATATCAACATCGAAAAAATTGCGTGACCTACTTTAAATGTATTAACGTATCGTAATCAGAGATCAGCTAGAATGACTGTGACCATGAAATCAATGTTTCGTTTATAAGTTTGTCTTTGTCAAATGAACAAGAAAAACATTAGATTGTCGATACCATATGCTAGATAAAATATTTCAAAGATATCTACGAATAAGAAAGCGCTGTTTATTGAGAATCGAACAATAGACTGTTTTACACCATTCTCCATTATGTCACTGCTGATGTTCGGCTTCTCTTTATCATCTACTTATCTTTTGTATTGATGTCGAATTGTCGCACGCTATTAAAAGCACATGCATAACAGATAAAGGTAGCATTGCATTCTGAGTAAAAGATATTCTCATATAATACATATCTATATGACATGATAACTTAGGACAATATATTCTTACTACATTAGTACAACGCATGCTGGATAAGTAGAAAGAAGCGTTATTAAAAACAGCAACCTTAGCAGTTAATTTTAGTTTTGCTTAGTGAAACTAATAAATTATTTGGCAGAATTTTAAACAAGGAATTATAGCTTCAATTGACGCGAAGAAAAATCAAGTTGCGCTTAACGAACGAAACTTCACCGCCATCCATATCATTCACAATTCTCATATGTATCGTGGCATGACTTCTTTCCAAAAAAATAAAAAGCTAGTTTTTCGTTATAGGTTAAAGGTATTTTGTGCAAAGTCTGAAATATTACATAATTTTCTTCTGAATATTAGTATAAAATAATTCGACAGGTATCTCGATATTTGAAAATGCTGAATGAGTCATGTAAAGCGATTAATTTGCCTCCTATTACAGATCAATAATCAATGTAGGTCATGACAATATCTTTAGCGAATATTTTAAAATAAGTATCACTGGAGTCATTTTTCCGATACACAGAGTTCTAACTTCTTCTATTTAATTGTGATCATTCACGGAAATTTTAATCACGAATTATCAAATTAATCAATGGAATTCTTTCTTCACGTCTCGATTGAATACTTTTTTCTGCATAATCCACCATGATTCATGTTTTCTTTTATCTTTTACCACGATAGACACATCGAAACTTACTCTATTTTGACCGGTTACAACTTCCCCGAATTAATTTTTAACTGAAAAGTACCGAATGAAATATCATCCACATGGATTCTTGAATTCATTTGATTGATGTATTTATTCATGCAAATTTTTCGGATGAATAACAAGAAAATGTCGCAATAGCTTATCGTCTATTCGAAACAAGAGTCAAGTCTGACTTTTTGGGAGATTCGTCTCGTGTTGTTTTTGACTAATAATTAAGATTAAGTATATCTTCTTTGGTTAGTCAGGATTGGTACCAAGGTTCTACACGATCAGCTAAAAGTAAAATCAGTTCTTCTATTTTACACGAGAAACTTGATCTAAATTTATTATCTGCTTATGATCATCTATTAAGTTGATAAGAAACTGCTTCTTTACTTTAAAAGAAACAAAAAACTTTCAGTTTAGTTTCCTTTAAATCTTTACAAAAAGCGTCTGCTGATTTTGAAGTCTTTCGTCGTTTGTTAAGTTTTCGAACAAGGAGCTTAAAAACTCGTTAGGCACGATAAACAAACATCTAATGTAAACAAACGTGATGTATTATTTATCATGTCTGAAAATTCATTTTTGATTTTCAATGAGCTGTCGATGATTATATAACTTTTCCCGTGCGTCCTGTTCCGTGCAAATGGTAATGGTCTCAATGTACCAATGTAAAAACGAAACCGTAATGTTACTCAGAATCTTGTTGTTCACTACTCACACATAGACGAAATTCGATCAGTTCATGAGCGAAAAAAAGTAAATATCGAGGCAGTTTAAAATTAATACATTTCTACAACAAAAATAGAATCTCTTTTCCACACGATCGACTTTATCGTTTTCATTGATAAAACATAAATGTTTTCTCCTTGATTAAAATATAAGTCATTGCTGGATTTATTCAAAAACAAATTCACATCAAAACAGTAAACTTAAAATAAAAACGTATCTATTATTACATAAAGATCTGCTTTTAAGTCAATTGATGCTTCGTGAATAAAATTAATGGACACTTCCTTTTCTTCCTCTTGATTATAACGATTAATGCATTTGACAACGGTGAGTTATCCAGCATAGCAACTTTGAAAACAATATAAAAATAAAGATCATGACTTTTAATATCCTTGACTAATAATGGTGCGAATCAATCAGTCAATCAATCAAAATATCGTTTATGCATCCTTCTTTGACATGATCTATCGACTAGCTATTTCAAATTAGAAAACCCGTGAGATTTTTTGCTTCAAATGTAGATTCTAAAAAATGCTTCAATTTCTCTTCGGCATATTGGGCATGATCTTAATGAATGACCGCATGCAACACACGCGGTCATGTGGCCACAAGGTATACATGCTAATTGTTTTTCTTCTGTCAGACATATCAAACACGGATTAGATGGTGTTGATTGGTTTCGATCCTCGATAATATTTGTTTGTTCTGTTGTTTTTGTTTCGATTTGCGTACTACTCGCTGGCGATTTCGATATGGATTCAAAAAAAGGTTCGGAAGATGCTGATTCATTTGTTGATGATTCCGATGATGTTGTCATTTCAGTAACTGTAATTTGTGCTGGATTAGGTACCGGTGCTGTTTGTTCGCGTATATGAACTTCTACAAAATAATGCAATAGAATATTAGTATGTGCGTAAAAAAGAAGTAGAACTTACCACTTTGTTCCCGAATTTGTTTCATTTTTATGCTTGGTATCACAATATTCTCTTTTTTACCGTTGATATGTTCGATTTGTTTCTGAAGAATTAAGCAAGCCATGTACAAATCAAGTTGAGATAGAAAATCATCATCTAAAATAGTTACATAGGTAAGATATGAAAGAATATAGTGCTTTGATTAACTCACGTTTTAGTCGTAATTGATCTTCCCAGCATCGTTTTATTATAGATAATTTAAAATTTTGATCTAATAACCGTTGTGAAATTGGTAAATCTAATCGAGCAGCAACAAGTCTCGGTAAAGTACTTTCATCTGATATTAATAATTGTCGACTGTTTGTTGTTGATGGTAGTGATGGTGCATTAGTATTTGGTACATCATTAGGGACACTTCGATCTTTTGATTCGTTGGCTCTTACGCGTTCTAGAAAAGTAAAAAATATATAAAATTTTAACTTTGAATATATAATTTTTCAAACATACCTTGCTGTGCTCGTTTAGATTCTTGAATTTTACGATATAATTCACCGCCACATAACTGTCGAGCATATGCACAATGTGGAAACCAACGAGCATGTTCAATCATTGGATTATCATTTGGACCCCAGTTTTGTAATGACCCATTGCAATAAAAGCAGGTCACAATCGTTTTTGTACCTGTATAGAAGAATCCTGCTCTAACGAAACCATCTACTGGTGGTAAATCGTCACTTGGCCATGTCGCATAGGATTCATGACGTTTTGGTATTTCTGAATAAGTCGGATTACATGAAGCTGTAAATACAATATCACTTGATCGTAATCGACTGAGATTACTTGTTGTTCCTGAACAGATATCTGAAGTATTTACTGTTGAATTTTCATTGACAATAATTATCGATGAAGCTACAGGACGCATTAATTTTGATTTAACATATATACAAAGAGGTGAAAGTGTTTTATGGACATCGCATGGATCATCTGTATGGGGTGTCCATTGTTGACAAATGAGATTACAATATATACAAATGACTCGATCACCAACATTGCAATTAAAAAATCCAGCTTCAATCATTTGCGCACTGGATGGTATAGTACGATGCGGCCAATGAGAAAATGAACGCCTTCGCACTTGTTGGATTAAATCAGTTTCGTGTAGAGTAGTACAGATTGATTCCGAACCCATTAGTTCAATTTTTTGACGTTTCGAAGGGTTTTCAAGTTCACTGGTTGTCGTTGGATTTCGTATAGTAGTTTTAGGAGGAGACGAAGGAGCTGGTATATTCGCCGATGATGATGCCACTATAGAACAGACGAATGGACAATCAGGTCGACGTTGAGAATGAATAGTAAATGGATTCATATCTGATGTCAAATTGAATACTTCAAGTCCGCAATCCTTACAATAAGCTGTATCTCTATCCCCTGTATATTGAAACCCGGCGGCAGACATATCAGATATAGTGTGGACTTTGAATTTCTTTATTGATTGAGTTATTGATTTGAGTTGACTAATTATAGTAGAGTACGATAAAGAATTGTGTTTGTTGTTGTGCGATTTCGGCGACGTGTCCAATGAATTGCCATTATGTGACATACTGGTTAGATGAGCAGTTTCATATTTGACTAAGGAGTTCATTTTTAGATGTCTGATAAAATCTAGAAGAAATAAGATTTATAATTCGATAGCATTTTATTTGAATAATTGCATAACATGTTTCTCATTCAAACGATCCCACCATCTGATATTGTCAGAAGAAGGAAACAAAATTAAGAAACTACTTGATGTTAGCGTAATTTCACGCAATGACTAACGGCAGTACGGACCATTACACGTCTAAAAATTGTGCATTTCATAAAAAAAAGTAATAACCATTCATACGTCACGTGCGGCGAAAATTCCCATAAAAAATTTACATTCTGCTAGATTCCGAACTTAACTTGTCTCTGTGGAGCAGAACGGGTATGTTTTAATTAATTTTTCACTAGTAGTACAATGAGACTGTAAATAGCAAGGAGGAAACAGGAGACTCCAGCCCCTCGGAGTCAGGTGGAGTCAAACGGAGTCAAGTGGCGTCATCCAGAATCACATGGAGTCAGCTGGTTGCATAGAATCACATAGGATCCCAGGGAGTCATACCTTAACACGAGGAGTCACAGTAAGTATCGCAAAATTCCCGCTGATCTCGAGAAAACCATGATAGAAATGAGAAACTGATGCGTTTTTACTTTTTTCTGTCATATGCATCATTATATAAATAGTTATTAGTCTCCTTCATTGTCGGAAATTGCCCAAAAAATTTCTCATAACGGAGCAATATTACTCAGTACCCGGAAGTAGAATTCTCGAAACTGAGCTGTTTATTCTGTAATGGAAATTCAACTTCCGGGTACTGAGTCATACTGTCAAGAGGGAAATGAGAGACTCCATCTTCTTGGAGTCAAGCGGAGTTAGATGGAGTCATGGAGTCTGCTGTTTCTCCTTGGAAAATAGTCGTTTTAAAATTGATTACTCAGACAGTTCTTTTAAAAGTTATGAAAATACTTCCATACAACTAATGATTCGTCACTTGATGTCCACTCGTATGCATTGTATACCACCAACTGACTAATCGATAAGCAAAAGTAATAACGAGTGGGTATTGTTAATGTGAGTGTCGTAATTATTTTTAGCGGAGTGAAAATGATTCATTTCCAACTAAACTTTTCCAAATGATTTCATCGAGTTATTTAGGGAAAAGCCAACTGCATTATACTTATAAACGTATCAAATCAGGTTGGTTCTTTCCATGCGCAGGAATGAAAGAAAGAAGAAAAACACTCATTCGTTATAAGAGGGCGTTTTAAAGTACACCCAATAACAATTAACATACTTGACTACTGGGAGTCTCCCAGTGGGGGTCTCACTATTAAAAAAGCTTAGCAATTAATATTAATGTTGCTTGGTTAAAATAGTAAATAATTTAGCAGAATTTTAAGCAAGGTAATTATAACTTTAATTGACGGAAAGAAAAATTCAGTTGCGCTGAACGAACGAACGTTCACCGCCATCCATATAATTCATAATTATCGCATAGAAAATACAGATATTCGGTTCCACCATAAATCCAAGTTGGTTCGTTTTTATGGATTAATTGTATTTTGTATACAGTCTAAAATATAGTACACGTTTTTCCTAGAATATTCATTCAAAGCAATTTTTGATAATACGACAGATATCTCTATTCCTAAAAGAGTTAAATCAGTTATTTCAAGTTATATTTCATCTCACATTACAGACCGATAATGTTGTAGTAATTCAATAAGTTAGAGTACATTGAATGTAGGGGACGAAAATATCTCTAACGGATATCTAAGAATAATTACCATTCGAATAAACTTCTGATGCACTAAGAACAAATATGAATGTGCTTGTTATTTGACTTTACTTTTATCAGTTAGTTAGCAAATATCAAATCTTAACGTATCAATATTATCGAAATAAACTAACACAAGTCATAGGTATAGACGGAAGTTTACTCATATTGCCAAATTAAGTAGTAAACGTGATTATTTATGGCGTGATATCGTGTTATCTTTTACGCAATAGATTATGACTCATGTATTACACGTTCTCATGAATGAGTAACAAAAGCATGCTGTAATTGCTTCTGTTTACAGATGTTTTTCACCTCTCTTTGCCAACAGTTACTTACCAGCGTTTCAGGATATTTCTGACTACAAATTATTTGCATAGATATTATATGTCTTTACTGAGAAAGTGTTTTTATCTTTGAATACTGAAAAGGAAATTTTTTATTTTCAATACCACGAACAACTAATGGGTTTTGTCTACATTTCAAGTTTATACTGGGGTCACCACAAGCACGTTTTGGGGAACAGTCTATCAAGTTACTACCAATGATAGCACAAAAACATTTGAAAATCCTGCAGCACATACTAAAAACATTTGTATTTAACAGATTCATGTAAAACGAAACATGGGAAACCGAATTGATATTGTAAATTCTGTAATAAAAATGAGCCGTTTTTTACGCTTAATGAAACATTATCCATATTAAAAATCGACTGATTCAAATATGTAATCATCTACAGAAAAAAATATTGAAAACTAAGAAAAATCCATTGATAACAATTCTGACATCAATCACAGCCATCAACTATTTTAGAAGTGAAACATGCCCTGAAGCAACTGTTGGCAAAGAAACCTCAGGAAACTTTAGGTGCACCCAGAGCAAAAGTCGAGCAAAATTTTTTCACTCATTATATTTTTACATGGTTAGATAGAGCTTGATGAGCTGATCACAAATATCACCTTGAAAATATTTTTTGAGTAATTTTTACCCGAAAAAAATTCAGAACACTAAAATGTTTAAAAAAACGACGATTTCAGTTTTTTTAAGGAAAAATCAAGTTTTTCCTTATTTTAAGTAACGATAAACTTTTGAAGCTCTTTCATTTGTATTTAACATTTACGAATTGGGTGAAAATGTGTAGATTTATAACTATTTCATGATTCATATCTAGTCCAATAGGACCCAGTCGATATATGAGCCGCCACAATATCACCGTATTCTTGCAAACCTATCAATTTTTTTTATGAACATTTCTACAACCTTCATACATCACATTCGAACTGATAAGAACAGATAATCAAATTTCATATTTTTCGTTTCGATCAAATTTTGTTCGATTTCTCTTTGAAATTCTTGTCTTTATTTTTTTTCTTTTGTCTATTTCAATCATTTCATTCCGTGAATGGATTTATTTTTGATCTATTTTATTTACGTAATACAAAATCATCACTACAACGTATACATGTATGAGGAAAATACTTTTTGATATGTTCACCGATTTGATCCACCGGATAAAAATATATAGCAGCAAGTTTTGCACAATTATTCGGTCTTGTATATCTTGTAAAATTCGATGTCACTTTTTCTAGTGATTGATAATCGACACGAAGATGAAGATGATTTGGCAAAGCCATTTTCCTATCAAATAAAAATAATTCGACATAATCATGATGAGTGTAAGCAAGATCAAGTCGAGTAAGATTAGGATATTCAATAATTGATAACATTTGATTATCATTATTTGATTTTGCAAGTTGTTTATTATTTTGTGCTTTTAGATTCCTTATTGTTAATTCTTTCATCAAGGGAAATGATTGAGCAATTCGAAGAAAAAATTCATCTTCCAATGGACGTTCATCATATAATGATACTTCAGTAACACCAGTAAATAATCCACCCCGAAAATTATTTGTTATGTTATTGTAAACTTTCCATTTATATGGATATGAATAAATATGACATTGACTATATCCGTTTTCTTGGAAATGATCAATACAAGTAATTATTTCACTATTATGAAAATATTCAAATGTTTTCTCAATGTGTTGATTTAATGCGAAATTTGTTTGATCACAATGCTTAATAGTTGAGCAAATATTAAATGTGAATTTATATAATCGCGGCATATAACGAATAATATCTTTCATCAGTGTATCACCATCAATAAATCTCCCATTACATTCGTCTATAATATTTAAATGAAATTCTTCTAAATTTAACATTCGACGTACAACTGACACAATTGATTTATCAAAATCAATTATCCTCTTACAGCACAAAGAAAAAATTCGTAAGTTTGGTAATAGGTTTTGCTGAAAATGAAAACAAATGAGTTCATTTAAACAAACAAAATATTAATAAAAATAATGAAGATGGATTGAATTTTAAGCATCGTAAATTAGTAAATATGGTCAAAATTTTTGCAAATATAATTGAATAGATAGTTCTCATTGGAAGCGAATCCTTTACATTATTAAAATTGATAAACAGTGATGAAATTTGATTGTTGAATATATCAGTTAAAGAATTTTTACCTAAATAAAAAGTTTTAAAGTTAATGGTAAAAATATTTTTCAAATCTGTTTCTGTTCATTCGAGTAAATATCTAAGATTTTCTATTTAGCAACATTATCATCTATATATATGATGTTTTCTTTTTTTTTAAATTCTTTCATAGATTAGATTCTCTATGATCAATGTCGTGTTCTATCTCATTTATTGACTTGTTTATATTATTCATTTTATTCTAGACTATATTAACTCTATTAATCTTGAAAAATTTCAATCGAATATATTATCAATGTATTTTTTTCTTATATAAATTAAAAAGTTAAATTCTTTGTCTCGTAACGACATTCCTATAAAGAGTATCTTTCATGTAGTAAATAAAAGTGAAATAAAAAAAATGATTTTCTATTGTCAGATGATCTTTAACTGTGAATATCCAATTCTAGAATAAAATTTATCAAAGAAAATCTCTTGCCATCAAATAGAGACATAGCTACTTCGGAGTCGATATGACATAAACTAAGGTTATTTAAATTAGGATAATTTGTAGCATGAAGAATACGTTCCATTGTTGTTCGTTCAAGATAAAGAGCTTTAATTCGGTGCCCAATTTCAGGTAAAATTTCTGAACAAAATCGATCAAGTATCGGATCTGATAATGGAGAGCTAATTTTATTGTCTGGTAAACATTCTAGAAAACATAGATCACGAGTAAAAATTGTATCATGTACAATTCTGTTGAGTCGTTGGTTAAAACCCATTAAAGAATAAAGTACTTCAACATTGTACAATTTTTTAAATATATGGATAAGAATTTCATCACAAATCATCCAACTGTATGAATGAATGTTGCATGTTTGTGTGTACATATCTATTTTCCCAAGAGTATATAAATATATCGTATTCATTGATTCTAGTTGACCGATATCGACAATAAAAACAATGATATTCTTTTCAATTATTTTATTAGACAATGAATGAAGAAATGAAAAATGTAGCATTACTTTTTCTCTTTCTTTATTATTATTATTCAATAGGCTTAACATGATTTACGACAGAAAAATTTTTTTGTTGAAAAGAAAAAAAAGCAACATTTATGAAACCTTATCAAATTTATTTCTAATCGTTTGTTTAATGATTATAATCTATATCGTTGTCGTTTTCGTTTTCGAATTTGTTGATGATTGTTTGAATGGAAATATATTTGGAATAATGCTGAAAAATAGTTCTATTGGCCAAAAAAACTTAATTTTACAAATGAAGATTTATTGAGGCAAATTTATTCAATTGAAGGCAACTATGTTTATAAGGAATTACAGTACCGTTCTCATTACTATTGGACTATTCTAAGTAGATGTTTTGACTAACAGAGAAACAAAGTTATGTGAAACTATTTTATGTCCCTATGCGTCCCGTCTTCATGCTTTGAAGAACATTAATGATTGTCATACTAATTATAGGTTATGTTCATCAAACTAAAAAAATAAAAATTATCTTGTAATATTCGTTATTTAGAATCAGATCTAATTAGTATGAACTGTCTCATGAAAAGAATTTTTCTAGCAACTCCGTACTGAAAACTTGACATAATCCTTACGGTTTAATACCGATTACATCCATTTTCAATGCATGTTTATTCCGTATAAAATTTGTGATGGATACTATGTGAAATCATGGCTGATATCCCAGGCCTATGATAAAAAAATGTTTATACGTCGTTTGATAGTTGAATGAATATAAGTCTGGTGAGTTTATTTGTCTGAATGAATACTTCATTTGATGCAAGTACGTGAATTACTTCTATTATTACATCTATATACACAATATTTATTTTAAAAACAAGACGAGACAGCACGTACAATATATGATTGTCTATAATCAAACTTTTGTACATTGTCCTGGACGATTAGTTTGCTCCAATTGTTGAGCAGAAAAATATTTTCTTGACTCATAATTATATATGAATAAATCAGCAACATCAATAAGAAGATGAACTATTGGTATCGTTAAAAAAATCTATTACCAGAAGTGAAACAGCAGTTTCATTCCAATTAATTATCAATATGACGTATATTGGTTCCCAATCAAAAACAAATCTTGTTATTATGAAAATAATATGTTTCAATAATCGAGCGTCTCGATTGCTAAAAATAGGTGTTTGTGTACTCTCTTCATTAATTGCCTGAACACATCGTGTTGAATGATGGGCATAACGAAAAATGATACTATTATTCGTATTAATTGAACATATTTTTAGTATTATTTTAGCAATAGATAAACCCCTCCGCAGAATAGAAGCCCACTGGACTTCTAATTTGTTTTGGAAGTCGAAAGTTTGGAGGTGGGCTTTTATTGCGAACATCTTTTTTTGTGTTGTAGATAAAATTTCCTTAGTGTATAAGCACGAAAGCACCCAACAATTACTAAATTCAATTTCCCAAGCTGTATGATCAACTTCAGAATACCTGTAAGAGTTTTTGAGGAAATAGACGTTCACTGGCGCTCTTCGAGCTCCATACTATCAACTCAGAAAAATAGAAAAAATTTTACACTATCTTTCACATTGATCTGCCAATGATTATTTCTGTAGAACGCATATTTCAGATCCCATAAATTTTATAATAATCAATGTCGTATCATACCATACTGATTTCTATTTTTGAACTCAATAAATATTCGTATAATTTTAACCGATCACTATTCACCTTTATAAGATGACTCATTGCCCGATAGTTCTGTCAAGATAATGAAAATTAAAATAGTTTCGTTTTTGAACTGCTTATGATCTCATAATAGCATGAAATATAACAGAATTAGTTGTGTGACAATTGAGTTCAGCTCGCAATGAGCTGGAGCTGAGCTGAATTGTCACACACCTAAACAGAATGATATTATTGTCTACCTTGTTCTTCATCTGCTATTTGCGAACAGTTATCTTGAAGGAGTGCGCATACATACGTACTTTTCAGCTCACAAAAGAAATTCATTTTTCTATTGGTAGAAAGCATATAACAAAAGAATCAGGCATATTAACTGGCCTATAATAACACAGCAAGAAACGATGAGCTAATTTTTCCATCTTTTTACGTTATTTACTATGCATTCGTGTGAAACATAGTGGGCTTCTATTCTGTAGAGCGGTTTACTTTATTTCAATACCTAAAAGTCAAACAAATCTTAAAAAAGGATAATCATAAAATACATAAATATATTTAAATTCTATTAATTAACAGTAGGATTCGAAAAGAAGACTGGTATATATACCAATGTTCGAAATATCAATTGAGCACTAACCAAGGGGAAAAAGCGAGACTTCATCTATTTCAAATTTTTTTTTGAAGTATAAGGTAGCACAGGGGAGTACAAGGGGGTATGAGAGGAATACAGTGTTCTAACTCTGTTCGACCAGGCTGAAGTTTTTACCACAAATACTTCTAAGTATCCTCCAGAGGTAAATCAGCTGTTTTCATTTCTGACGTTTCTATCCTGATTGATAAGGTTCTGAAAGCCTGGACGCCGATTCTGACCAGAACCTTTAGGTACTTTTTTTTATAAAAAAAGAAAAAGAAAGTAAGATTTTTGAAAAAGTTCGAAACTACCTCTGATATACAGTCGTAGGCATCTCCAAAAGATTTTCAGCCAATCGGGCCAAGTCTGATAGGGTCGTTCCCTGGCAAGATGAGATCCTATCTAAAACCTTCTTTGAAATTCTTTTTCTTGAACATATGCCTCGTTATTTTATGTGTTCTATCTATGGTAAAAATTTGGATCCGATCGGCCTTACCGTCTTCGAGATCCAGAAATGGTCAAAAAATGGGAAACCGTAGACCCCCTCAGAGACGAACTTTGTTATTTTTCGTCCGATTTCACCCAAATTTTTGGAAGATATTAGTCTAGGATAGGACAGATTATGAGTGAAATGTCTCCCCCAAATTTCCAATAAACTAATAAGTTATAGTCAATTTATTGGTCAAAAACACTTCGTTAGACCTACGACAGTTCCAGCTCGTGAACTGAATTCAAAAGAGCTTATGAGCTGTTCTAAAAGTTCAGTTCAGTTGCAAACAACTGTCCGAACAATTCAGCTCAGATCCGTAGAACTGGTCGAGCAGTTCATCTCATTTCGGAGAACTGATAAAGCCACACTCTATACAAGTACCCATAAGTCCTCATGTTGTTTCCTATTGGGAGTACCGATAGATCTCCAAGACTTATGCTATGGCGGTATCCATAAGCCTTGAAGGCCTCTGAAAGTGCATATCCTGATACTTTTGGGCCGTGTGCCACATGCTGCGCGTATAATTTTCAAATGGGCAGAATTGTTGGATCTTAGTTTGTTAGCTGATGGTCTTCTATGCTTACTATATATTAGTCTTTGGAAGTTGTTTGTTCGCATAATTGTTGTCGATCGTCGCCTGTCTTTCTTCGTTATTCAATGTAGTTATGGACGGGCGCATAGTCGTTTGCTATATGTGGGCTGACACATCATCACGATCGGTGGCCTATCTCTTGTAGTTTAGCTGCGTTTCTGGTGATGATGCAGATTTATGAAAGAATCGCTTGGTTTCGTATTACGTTCAGCTTTCCTTAATCTATTACTCGTTGACGCATCACTTTAATATGTTTTTCAATTGCGTCTAATGTCAGTCAAAAAATCATTTTTTTTGCTCTTTCACAAAACTCAGGAAACTTTTTGTCTACTAAAAATTAGTGTCGTTCACTGAATCCTGATTTTGATCAGGATGTTTCTCCTAATCTTCGAATTAAATTTCTATCTAGAATGAAGGATTCAATGGTAATCATCAAAATATGATTGATCTTTAATTGGACTATAATTAACGCATATTTTTTGATCAGTGCCATCATCAAAATGATGCCACAGATGATATCTGTTCGAGTTTGGAACAATTTGCACTTGCTCTATGCTTTTCTTCATCTGTAAAAACGATTTACTAATGCGATCGCTTTTTATTTTGTTTTGTTTTATAGTATAAAATCTATTTTTTCAATCATCAAATATAATCGTTGTAAAGAAAATAGATTTCATCATAGATCCTAATGAATTTCGATCTATCTCTTGATCATTTTCAATAAATAAGAATACATTGCCTCAAATGATTTATCAATTTATTTTCGATTCACGATTGCTACTCAAACTTTTAAGCAAATGATAGCATCCTAGAGAAATTTCGACCATACTTTATTGGTGAGCTTGGGGATGAAGATATGATCTGCACATCATACTCATAGAAAGTTTCTACGGTATATCAAATAACTGAAATATGTTGGAAAGTTTATATTGATCAATTCGATATGAATGATGATTATCACAAACAGCTTGTTGGCGATTGAGAAAAACAAAGAGAACCTACCTATTATTAACTAGTAAATGATTCTTATTAACAGTAAAAGATGTGAACAACAAGAACTAAAATAGCTCATAAGATTGATATTAGATGGATTAAATGTTTCATGATAAAAATAAACAAATTCACTTAAATAAAATTCGAACTCTACCGAACACCACCTATTTGAATTGAAATGGGTCGAGTCTTCTGTTTTCGCCACTTGACAACGGATTGATAATTCAATTTTCGAATTAAGGTAAGGTAATTAGATACCAAACAATTAAATCAATTGGTTCGATTCTTGACAAAGCTAAACGAAAAATTTTCATACTATCTTCATTTTCTTGGAAAGAATTTTTTTTCTTATATTTTACTATGGGTTTAAGATTCATTTTCATTTGTTAATAATCAAGAATAATGTTTTATTAAATTTATTATTTTAATAAAGAATTTTCAATGAAGTCTATCATTTGATACCATTAGCGCCAAAATCAATAATACGAGAAATACAATTTGATCGAATGTTATAAGGTGATAGAGTTTATTAAATTATTACCAATTGACTGATTATTTTAGTAAGAATATATTATTAAGAGATCAAGGAAAGATTAGAAATAGAATTAATTCAATCAGCATTTATTAAAATATAATAAACAAGAATGAAAAGTAATTGTATGAGTAAATTTGTTTTAGTATATTTTTAAGAGTAAATTTTAGTTAAATTAAAAATAAAAAAACAAACAGATTAAATTGCTTTTTGTTTTTGTTTAATTTAGTCTGGTATAACTTGAGGGTATGGGTGTGAACCTCCCAATCAACACCCACACTCCATAGTTCACTAAGTGATTCAACGTTTCCTTGGCTAGAAAATATCGAAATATCATACTAGCTAGGTAAGCGAAGAGTGTACGAAAGTCAAAATTGATATAGCCTCTTATGTATCGTCTGTTAAATATATGAAAGATGCATTTTCACGACTGTCGAGCGTCGTGCGACACACTGGACAATTACCGTTACTCTGTCTATGAAGCCATTCCTTTAAGCAGGCTTCATGGTAAACGTGACAGCAAAGCGTTATTACTGGTTTCCCATTGCCTGTAAGATCTTCTGTGCAGATTGAGCATTCTCCAAAATAATAGTTATATTTCTTGTCTTGTCTGGCAGCAGACACTGCTTTAGCAAACTCCTTGATTTCGTTGGCAATATTAATTGATCTTCGAGGTGAACGCCCCATATTAAAGACATTTCTCAATCGTGATATCAAGCCATCCTTTCTTAATACGAAATATTCTTTTTGAGACTGTTGATCGATGTCCTCGCTAATCCGTCTCAGAAATGTCTTCCGTCTTGCATACAAACGCTGGTCAATCATTGTATCTTCATCACTTCTATTGTCACCGAATATAATCGTCCTCATGCTTTGTACAGTTTTGACAAAATCTGTATCTTCTTGATTTTTACTTATATAACTTTCTTTTGTCATATTTTGATCTGGGCAATCAGTGAATATGATTGAGGTCCATTTTAATGCACCCTTACCAAACAAAGTGGTAATCATATCAATATAGTGGCGCACCTCCTTAGATATTCTACCATATTTCAGACATATATAAACCTTATTGTAACCGATTGAAGCTTCCGTTAGGACCAGTTTCAATGAGGCTTGGATATCTGCATTCTTAAAACGATTATCTCCCAATCCAATTGTATCTGTATACCCATATTTTGGAATGTCATAGTACGTAGTAAAAAATCTAGTTTCCCCACTTGAACTGTCATTCGTTCCAGCGGGTTGTGATAAATGATGGCGTTGCGTATCATTATTCATTAATATGTTTATTACAGTCGATTTGCCAACACCCGTAGGTCCAACAAATAAAACACGCCGCATTGGACAATAAGGGTTCACCGGTTGAGGTTGAACAGGAACAGTCGGTGGACACGGAAAAGGGTTCACTAATTGAGGTTGAACAGGAACAGTCGGTGGATGCGGAAAAGGGTTCACCGGTTGAGGTCGAACGGGGACAGGTGGTGGGCACGGAGCAAGGACAGTCTCTTGACGCGGACCTGGGGAAATCGATGGCGGAAAGTCACCATTTGTATGCTCTGATTTTAGCTTAAAGCATTCACAGCATTTGTGGTGTAGAAAGGGATGTTGTTTGAAATTTGAACATGCCGACATTTTTCTCTACAATCTAGAAAGAATCGAGATACACGTACCTCTAGTGATATTGTTCAACAAACATATTCGTGATACAAAGTTCTGCTTTGAAATGAACATACTAGATAGATAATTAAATTGATTACTGCAAGAAACAAGTAACGCGACGTAAGCGTCGCAAACTCTCTAGTGAACGGATATTCTTGCCATGATTCCGAATTCTAAAAGCTCTTGAGGGTGTGAGTGTGAATGTAGGGTAGAGGAGATAAAACACCCACCCACGCCCGCACCCACACCCACACCCACACCCAC